CAGCTTCTCTTGCTAGCTTAATTCCCATCAATTATGAAGACTCCCTAAGGAATCACAACCTGGTGTCTGTGCTTAAATTCTCTGGCACCAGCTCTATTAATTACTGCAACAATTATGATTTAGTTATCATTATAAGCTGGTGGTTATCACCTTCTGTTTATGACCCAAAGTGGAAGAATACATTTTGGTGTGATAAAAGCCTATGGTTTTTCTAGGCAAGAACTAACCCCTGAGTGACAGCCCAACTAGTTGTTTGTTTATTTGTTTGTTTGTCTGTCTGTTTGTTTGTTTGAAACAAGATCATGCTTTATGGGTCAGGATGAACTTGAAATGTCTGTATATCCCAGGCTTACATTAGACATATAATCTTTCCTCAGAAATTGAATCCCAGAATTAAAGACATGCACCACTACCTGGCTCATGTTTCCTTAATAGCTACATTCTCAGACAATAACTTCTCAAGCATGCCCTATAGAAGACCATTCCTAAAAAGGAAATTCTCTGGGATTCAGGACAGTCTCTCCACTACTGCCCTAGATATCTACATTCATTTTGTAGTCATTTCAGAATGCAATTATTTTTTATTAAATGATATAGAACCACTCAGACAAGATGAAACTATTTTCTCCTTCAAAATTTTAATACTAAAATCTTAACTCCCTTTTAAAGCATATGTTAACATACTTATAACTAAAACTGAATTTCCCCTCTGACATTTCAACATAACAGGTATTTTACCCTTAGTTTTGCTAAATATGTATTTCTGTAGTTGTGTTTCTATTTTTACTTGTATAGTCTCTTATCCTAAGAAGAAAATGACTGAATATATGCCTGAGAAATTGTAAGAATATCGAACCATGCTGCAGCAGTGCTGGATATCAAATCCATGCAGCCATCATGGGGCTGCCCTTGGCAGAGCATGTCTTCGGAATCAGTGAGCATTGTCCTTGACTGCTGCAAACCCCGGTGAGCTACAGTTTGCTCTGTCATCCATTTCTCCTCTCTTCCTTTTCATTTTCCTCTTCCTCCCTTCTCCTCATACTAGAACAACTGAGCTTTAGAAAACAGAAAGTCGCATTTAAGCTTGTGTCCATTGTTACATCTCAGAAGATCCCTTTTCAATGGTTAAGAGTTAAGTAGTTCCATGTTTACAGGCAGTTGAGTTTTAAACCTAGAAACTGAATAAGGGAACAATTTTAAATTACGTGTGTGTGTGTGTGTGTGTGTGTGTGTGTGTGTGTGTGTGTTCACGCACATGTGCTTGTGTGTGAGATAAATTGTGTGCCTATATACATGAGATATTATGTTTCTGTGTGTGTGTGTATGTATGTGTTTCTTTGTGTGTGAATACCCAGATGCACTAGGGCCTCGTGTAAGTGAGATAACTATTTTACCACTGAGCTATATAACCAGCCTTCTTTTCAATTTAATTTTGAGATAGAGTCTCAGAAAGTTCCCAGTCTAGCTTTCAGTTCACTCTAAAGCTCAGGCAATTATGATTCCCTTGCCTTAGTACTGAGTAGCTATGCATGATTAGATTATATATATATTTATACACAGAGATAGATGATAGGTAGATAGACAGGCAGACAGATAGATAATGATAGATGATAAAGATAGATAGATAGATAGATAGATAGATAGATAGATAGATAGATGATAGATAGATGATAAATAGATAGATGATAGATAGATAATAGATAATAGATAAATATTTAATGTTTAATACTGATTAGCAACTTGACAGGACCCAGAATACCCTTAATATAAGCCTCTAGACATATCTGTGAGTGCTTATCTAAATTAGAATGATTTCTAGGCAGGCCTGTGAGGGATTTTCCTTATTATATTTGCTGAAATACAAAGACCCACCCTGAATGTGGGTGTCCATTAAATATAAGGGGAACCCAGGGAAAGATCCTGCTTTACTTGTTTGCCTTTATATCTCTCTGAGAGTTTAACTATGTGTTGGTGAGTTCATCTCACCTATTGAAGTCATTATACTGTTGCTGCTGTTCACTGACATTTGAACCCTGAACTAAACACCACTAGCTCTCCAGGAATCCTCTCCACCAGACCAAAAGTGCTGAAACATTGGGCCTCCTGAACTGACAAGCTACCAAACATCAGTCTCTTCAGTGTGAAAAAAGCCATTATTGGGATGTGTCTGTGCATATATGTATGTATATATACATACATAATTTTTTTCTGTAGCTAGTTCCTAGTTTACAGTGATTTTAGGAGACATATCTCACACAGGATTTCTTAGGTCTTAGATACAAACTTCACTCCGACTTACTTCCATATTTTTTATCAAAAGATGAGAATGATATGATGAAAATGTGATGAGGAGCAAATTTACCCTGACCTGAAGAACAATCTCGTATTGCAAGCAAAGAGACAAATGACTCATGGACAAGGTCCTGTGCTATTAACAGTGGTTTATTTTAAAGATGCTTAAATGAAATTGAGGTAGAATTTGCAGTAGATCTTGAGTAGGAAGAAAACATTTGAACATCACTCATCTGCAGAAACTCTTGATATAACCTCAGCCTCTTCAAAAGGATCATACTACAGGCTACTTTTTATTTACCCATGTTACTATAAAACAATGGAACTCAGCCGGGCGGTGGTGGCGCACGCCTTTAATCCCAGCACTCGGGAGGCAGAGCCAGGCGGATCTCTGTGAGTTCGAGGCCAGCCTGGGCTACCAAGTGAGCTCCAGGAAAGGCGCAAAGCTACACAGAGAAACCCTGTCTCGAAAAAAAAAAAAAAAAAACAATGGAACTCAAATAATACACTAAACTTCATACTATAGGCTAATTTTTATTTATCCATGTTACTGTTAAATAATGGAATCCAAATAATACACTAAACTTCAAAGACCCACTACATTAGATTTCAGAACTTACTGCTTTATTTTTATAATTTATTCTTTCATTTATCTATAAACATATAGTACTTAACTCAGACACAGCTCCAATAACTTCCTTTAGTTCATCTCTAGTACCTTGATCCTTATTTTAGTATCACAAAAATTTGACACATAATTTTATGCCTGTCATAATAGGACATGATCAGGAAATGTCCAGTTTTGTTTTTCACCAACTAATATCCTGCCAAAATCAAAGGATGGATAGAATGTACCAAATATATAATTTATACTGAAAAAAGTCATAATATAGTATCACTTGTATAGAACTTGAGTTGGGGCCACACGGTAGAAGATCAGTTACAAGAACATGTGATCCAAAGCTTATAAAGCTGCTGGAGAAGCCAACAGTTGATACACTTGACCATCCCTCCTTTAGATTATGTTAAAAGTTGAATGGTAGCCGGGCGGTGGTGGCGCACGCCTTTAATCCCAGCACTCGGGAGGCAGAGCCAGGCGGATCTCTGTGAGTTCGAGGCCAGCCTGGGCTACCAAGTGAGTTCCAGGAAAGGCGCAAAGCTACGCAGAGAAACCCTGTCTCGAAAAACCAAAAAAAAAAAAAAAAAAAAGTTGAATGGTAATATTAATTTCATTAGATATTATTCAAGTCAATTGGATTGCTAATTTCTATTCTTTTGAGTGAATTTTCATTAATGTGACATTTTTGGCATGAGAAAAATCACCATGGTTCTTTATATCAGAACAGATATTATACACTTTGCTTCTGAATCATCATATTCATTTTTTAAGAAATAAAGTACTTATGAAATCATTAACTCATTAATGGTATTAATGGTTGAGTTTTAAGAAAGTACTAGTATTCTATAAATGCTGATTTATAAAATAATCCTATCACAAAGAACTACTACACATGCAGTCTAGACAAGAAGAACTCAGACATTATAAAAAATTGAAAAAGTGAGGGAAAAAAGGAGGGGGAGGGAGAGAGAGGGAGGAAGAGAGAGAGATAGAGACAGAGACAACAGAGACAAAGAAAGCTTTATCTATAATTTGAAGGCAGAAAAGAAGAACTACATGTCTAGTCCCAGCCTGTCCTGTATAATGACACTTTCTCTTAAGAAAGAAAACAGAAAAAAAAAATGAGTATGATGAAGTGATTGCCTTAGTTAGGGTTTCTATTGCTGTGACAAAACACGAGGACCAAAAAGCAAGTTGAGAAGGAAAGGGTTGACTTGGTTTACACTTCCATATTGCTGTTCATCATCAAAGGAAGTCAGGACAGGAACTCAAACACGGCAAGAACCTGGAAGCAGGAGCTGATGCAGAGGCCATGGAGGGCTGCTACTTACTGGCTTACTCCTCCTGGCTGTCTTATAGAACTCAGGATCAGCAGCCCAGGGATGGCACTACCCACAGTGGGCTGGGCCTTCCCCCATCAATAACTAATTAAGAAAATGCCTTACAGCTGGATCTTATGGAGACATTTTGTCAAGGTTCCCTCCTTTCAGATAACTCTAGTTTGTGTGTCAAGTTGACATAAGACTAGCAAGCACAGTGGGCTTTCTTATAAAAATATATTTAAAAAATTAAAAGTACATGTCCATTTAATAAAAGTAATGTCTAAAATATATAGAACAAATTGCCAGTGAAATTAAATGAAAGGTAAAAAAAGAAAGAAAAAGAAAAAATTACATGTGAAGACAGCCAAACCGTGTTTCTCATAAGAATACAAAAACGAGGAAAAGAAAAGAAGCCCTTTTGAGGAATTCATTAAATTCTTTCCTGAGCAGCGTGTAGATGACTGACACAGGGTAGGATCAGAGTGGAATTGAAGCTGAATAGATTCTATGACAACTTTCCCGTCTTTTGAGATTTCTGAGTGCATAGTTCCTCTGAATTCTTTGAATGAAGCATAAATTTTAGGAGGAAAGAAAAGAAGTAATTCCCATCAGCATTCAGGGGATAAAGTGAGTCTAGGCCCAAACCTCCAGAGAACCAATTATTGGTTTCTAGAATTAAACATTCTGTGTGAACCATTTTCATTAAAGAATATAAATGTAGAAGTTGAAAATGACGGTCTCCTCGTATTGCTGTTTAAATTCGGTACCTTGCCTGACCCAGTCTCCACGATGAAGTGTGTGCTGTAATATGTGACAACATTTGTGACATCCAGAGAGCAGCTCTGCCCAGTCGATGGTCATTGTTGCTTCTTCATCGTCACAGGCATTAGCAGGCCGTTCAAAAAGGGAAATCATGGCTGCCGTGAAAACAATTGCTTGAACCTTGAATCATTGAAAGAGGAACAAACATATGCAGTGTAAGTGCTATCTATCCAACAGTTCTGCGTCCTTTACGGTTAACAAGAAAGGGATCATGAGTTAGGAAGGTGTTCTCCAATATTACTTAAAGCATTCAGGCAGTGACAGTAGAACCACTACACAGTCGGGGAAGTGGTTTCCAAGCACAGCTTTCATTTTAAAAGGGACTTGCCATTGACAACAGTCAGAATGGAAGCTATCACAATCATGAAAGGGAATTGATCGTTCAAGCCTCTTCAGTGTCAGGCTCACTCCAGTGTCATTGAGTAAGTAATGATTCCTCTCATCTAAACTGAAACATAATAGGAGGAGAAATGGCTATGTCCAGTGTCACAGGTTCAATGTTTCCATCTTTGATGCCTCGATTCCTTTGTTAGGTGATACAGAATATGAACACTCTTTTGGCTGTCTGATAATAAACTTCCCCCAAATCAAAACAATTCACTTGAAAGGCCATGGAAAGTTAGTTCAGACATTTAATAGTAAGTAAACATTTATTAATATTAGAATCTAATGCATTAATCATTTTATAATGTAAAGTTTGTAAGTTTTTAAACTAGAGAAATGTGGTTACAATGAATAAATACAAGGATATCATAATGAAGGTTTGTATTTTATCACTAAAAGGAGGGATGGTAGTATCACTCATTCCTCCTATGTCTACGGAGAATTGCCTCATAGTTTATAATATAGAAAGTGATACTCAAGGCATTTCAATTTCTACTTTCCACTACAGTTTGAGGATTCAATCCTTATTGTGCAGTCTTATCATCCTCTCACTTACCTTTCCAGTTATATCCCCAAAAGAAAGGATGGATTCTTTGGGATCAAGAGGATTATGCCAGTAATCCATGCATATGGGAGTTCCTCTCAGGCCTTGCAGTTTGTACTGACAAGGAAATTCTTCTTTGGACAGTAGATCATAGAAACAAATCTCTTTGCTTGTAAAAGCCACTGCAATCTAGAGTAGCCAAGCAGAAAATCAAAGGATATTTATGGTGGATTTAGTGAAATTATTATACAAAGCAAGCATGCAAATCTAATTTCCAAATGAGATGTAGTTCTCTGAGAGTCGTTAGCAGTGTTATGGAAGTATACATAGTACAGAGGTATTTAATTCTAACATTGGACTTTAGCCAAAAATCAAAACAAAACCAAATACTTTTATCGTGAGAGGCATTCAAGCACCCTTTTTTTCTCATTTCAATCCTACATCCACCAGCACCCTCCATCCCTAAAAATATTGTCAATTAGTTAGATAAGAAATTTTAAAAAAACATGAGTCATTATCTGTGATATAATTTTAAGACACCCAAGCAAAGGGCTTTGGAAGGCAAGTACTTTCTGCTTATATCCCCTCCAGCTAAGATGAGAGGCACCAAAGATGAATGTGGCTCTCTGGTCACTGCTGGTGTTGCACTTGATACTGGCCAGGGGCTTTCCCCCATAATTTTCTCATCTTTTTCATAAGTAGAGAGTGTGTTTATAAAGATTTTGTACCTTGTTAACATTTTCCAGAGAAACCAAACTTGTCACCCAGAGGTGTTTGAGTTTGGTAGCATCTGACGTGATAGGAAGTGATTCCTGCAACTTCAAGTTCTCTCCCCAGATTCCTAGTAAGCCTTCCTTGCTAATGGTCAAATAACGACTTGAATTCTTTAAGTAAACTACTTTCTGAATGGTGTCCTTGTGCTTTCCTGGGAGGAATTCAAGATCCTTCCATTGGGGAACCACTGTTGCCTTTGTCCGTTCCTCTCTCTCATAAAGCGATAGCAGTACAAATGAAATCAGCTTGTCCCAGTCAACAAAGCCATCTCGGGCCACATCCACTTTGTCAAAGAGTTCTCCAAATTCTTCCTCTGTGCCCCAACCCACAGTCTCTGTCATCTTCTGTATGAATTCTTCCCTGGCCATACAAATGGTTTGTCTTGGATCTTGGGACTAGAAATGGGAAGAAAAAAAGAAAGAGAACAGAAAAATCATCACACAGAGAAGAGCATTGTGCTGTATCGGGGTTGAACTTAGTCAGCAATTCTTGCAGCATGGGAAGAAAAGCATCTTCCATTTTTGAGTGGTGTTATACTTACATGGATTTTGGCAGGTGAGACAAATAATTTATAGTGCTAGAAACTGCATCCTCAATTACAGTGTTGAGGCAGGAGAGTTAGAGACTATGTGTTGATAGAAGCAGGGATTGCAGAGATGTGAGACATTAGCCATGAAGCTGGAAAAGGCAAGGGATCAATTCAGAAGGAAAAGCAATCCTGAGAATAACTTTGTTTGCCCCATAAATCTCATTTTGGACTTCTGCCCATCAAACTGTAAATCAATAAGATGGCATATGCAAGCAGCTAAGTTTGTGGTAATCTTTTACAGAAGCAACAGAAAGCAAATATCGTGGCTTACAGAAGAATGGGTGAACCCTTGAAAAGTTTTGATAGAGCCAGGAAAACTACAACATAATACAATTTCAATTCAATGGTAAGAACTATACTCTGTAACATAGTATTATAAAAGACACTGTAACCATAGTTATATTCCATAAAGTACCTGCAAACGCTAAGTTAGCAGATACTAAAGCATGGCTCCCAGAGGAAAGACAAGGTCATGTTTCTACAAATCTATCCACTTCCATTCACATAGGTGTTAATGATATCATTGTACTTGGTGTGTATTTCTACTGAAAGACACCTTATTTAATGTTATTGTTACTTCTTCGTAACTGAATTTGTGATCAACAGTATTGTAATTTAAGTTTGAATGAAGCCATGGTACATTTTTGGCATTTCCAAATATTTTTTGAGCTTGGGAATATCAGCAACACTTCCCCCAATGGATTCAGGGACCATTTTAAACAGCAAGTCATCAGGTGAGGGTGTGGAAACTGTGGCCCACAGGAGATGGAGAAGACGGCCCTTCCTTGTGTTGCAGTGGTGGTGCTAGAAGGCAGCAGACTGGCAACCTCACTTGACCTTGTCGATAAGTCTAAGAGACTCACCGTTTTTTCTACTCTCTACACTTCTTCTTTCTTGGGAAGGACCAGGAAAGTCGTGTGAGTAGTGATGGGTGGTTTACAAAGAAATTTGCGGTAGAAGGCAAATCCGCTGTCTACACGTAAATTAATTAAGAACAGAGCTTAATACAGGTGGTGGGATTTGTGATGAAGGAATCACCTTTCCGTACGAGGGAGTCAAAGTGTGAGGATACACCTGGTGTATGAGTTATCAAGGAATACAGCTGCTCACACAAATGGATGTTTTGTTTGCCATGGTCAATGCCATTTGCCCTCAGCATTCCCCTCCCCCATGCACATCTGATTCTGGGCCCATCTATTCATGTGTAAGAATTATCAGCAAATTACTTCATTGATTCATGTGTAAGAATTATCAGCAAATTACTTCATTGATTAGCCTTAACTTACCCATTTGTAAAATGGGTGTATCAGTATCAGTCATAGTAGCATCATTATGAAAATAATCTGAAGTGCTATTGTATGAGAATAGATTGGGGTAATCAGTTGGTTAGTAGAGATTTGTTTAGGCATTTAACTAACTAAATCAGCTTTCTGAAAAACAATTACAGTGGGTGTTTTGACAGCTGTAACCCATCAATCTTACCTTCACTAAATTATTTTTAGTCTGAAAAGTTTAGATAGATTAAATGTTTCAAGGCTCATATTTTTAGTATAAACAAAGATACCTGGATCTAAGTGCACTCCATCAGAGACAAAGTTGAAAACTGTTTTTAAAAATGAAGTCAATTCTTTGGGGTCACTCAAGTATACTATCATGTCGTCTGCAAATAGGGAAAGATTGACTTCTTCCTTTCCAATTTGAATCCCCTTAATCTCCTTATGTTGTCTTATTGCTCTGGCTAGAACTTCAAGTACTATATTGAATAAGTATGGGGAGAGTGGACAGCCTTGTCTCGTTCCT